TTGTCATTCTGTTTTTACAAATATACCAATAAGATATTTCCACATAAGGCTTTGAAGGTGTTTCAATATAACACACCAACTATATTGTATGGTTAATTTAATTTCCCCCTAAGCAAATATTTCAGCTCAAATATTTCCTAGCTATTGAGGATTTTTTAAAAATATTTTTATACTGCACCTAAAATTGCAATGAATTACATTTTTACTTCTGTTTAATAAATATGAAATGTTTTGAGTGCTTACTGATGGAAAATGTGTGTTGGGGAATAAAAATAAGTCAGACAAACATGCTAAGTCAGAAAACATTATTAAGAGCACTGGAAAAAATTCTAGAAAATGTTCAGTTCTACTTTTTCCAGAAAACCCAGATCACTAATTACAGCAAGATACATGAAGCAGTCCCAAAATGCTTGAATGAGAAAAACCTAACATTAAGCCAAGGCAATGGTGAGATCAAAAACTGCCCTTTAGAATTCTTTGACTACCGCTTTCATAAAGCTGTCCACTGCCTCCACTCCCCACCCCCAAATTTAATGGCAGTATCTAATAGTCCTAATAGTCCTACTACTTCTAGTGAAGTTAAGAAACTTCTTGGCCTGGAAAACTGGTGTAGTCAATTCATACCAAGGTTAACTATATCTCACAGCCACAGCAAGATCTCACAAAAAAGTCAAATATAGAAATGGTGAGAAAAACACCAAGGTGCTTTTGTTGGGTTAAAGACAGACTTTGGCAAGTGATACAGTCATGTCATAATTTGATCTAGGCCAGGGGACTGAACTTGTGGTGACAACAGAAATGCTGCCACTGAATTTCAGCAGCAAACTGCTACAGAGGCTTAAAAAGGAACACATTTCATGTAGAAATAGTCAAACCACTTTGGAGGTCCAGCTGGATTCAGTAAGTAGGAATTACTTTGATTTCTATACCAGCTATGGTTGGTACATTAGCCACAGTTTTTTGAAGACAAAGCCAGCCACACTGCATGGATCACTGTGTACAATCTGGCCATTATGATCTATGCACTGGTATCCTCAAAACGGGATTATTGTAATATGCTGTACATAGCACTTCCCTTGATAATTGTCCAACACTGCAGCTAATACAGAATTCAGCAGTTAGGTTGCTGAGTGGGGCAGCTTATTATAAGCATGTCATCCCTTTGTTCAAAGAACAGCATCCAGATATGCCAGCTGCAAGGTGATGTTATTGACATATAAGACCCTAAAAAATGAGAACCTGAGGGAACGCCCTCTCACACAGCCTGCCCATTCACAAAGATGCACAGATTAGAAAACCCCAGTTATCATCCTGGCTGCAGTTATATCTCTTGCGGTGCACCATCTCTAGAATTCTCTCCCCCATGAAGTGTGACATACACCATCCTTGACAGTGTTTAGGTGCTCATTAAAGACCTATCTGTATCCCTAGAGATTTGCAGATTTTGACATCTAGCCAGGTATTGTTTTGTTGTTATCATATTGTATTGCAATTGCTTAATGCATTTCATCCATCATCCTGTGATTTGATAAGAAGAGTGGCAAACAAATATTTTAAAAAAATCAACAGAGTCCTGCACACTGTGCCATCCAGCAATTCCATAGAAATACTGTTCAATTGCATATTTCTCCCTCCATCACCATTGGTGGAAGTGTTGATTTCTCTGATGGAGAACATATTTTGAGTGTTTATGATAATACAGGACATCTTTTGATTGCCTGTAATTATAGCCATTATCTAGTCACCACTACTTCAGCAAATGCTGTTATCCCCAAATTAGACAAATTTTCTTGTCTTGCGGCATAACTGCTATTGTGAAAAATAACAATGGGCAACCTTTTCAAAGCTTGCAATTTGCTCAATCTTCAGACTACCTTGGATTTAGTTATTGAAAATTCATACCCTATTGGCCACAAGTAAATGAAGAGGTTGAGAGGTTTATGAAGACACTCAGGAATTCCCTACTGAGTACTACAGCAAAGAAAGACAATGTGAAGTAAGATTTGATTCTTCCTCAGCTACCTAACTGTGCCCCATTCATTGTTCCACTGGCATGGCAACAGCTACTATGCATAATGTTATCTCAAATTGATTTCCCCCACTCAAGAGTGTACCTGTGAGCAAATGTGATTAGGCAAAGCTCGGAATCAAAAAGTATATAGACTACTGCAGACAACCAAAGTAGTGACTTGTTAAGAACCTCCAGCCTCCTGCATCATATCAAATCACAATAATAAATGACACAATGGTTACTACACAGAAACATGGCCATAAAGTCACAAGTAATGTTTTTCATATCAGACCACTTCTGATAAGTTCTCAAAAGCTTGAGGACAGTAATATCTTCATGGAAAATGACCATGTTAGCCCATCTACCACTTCTCCTGCATCAAATCCAGCAACTTTAGATGTTCCAGAGGCAAAACCATTAACATCACCCAAGAAGGACTAGTCATCAGGCTCCAAGCTCTTGTGTGACTATTTACACAAAGGAGTCTATTCTTACAATGAGCCAATTATCCAATTTCGTCTCTTGCTTTCTTTGTGTATCTTATATACACACAGAGAGACTCGCCTCACCAACATTTGCAGTTTTTCTTATACAGTTGCAAAAGATTGAGGAGGGGGTTGTTTCTTTGTTTTTAATGTGCTAGGTCTACATTAATGTTTGCAAGCTCAGACTCTGGGTAGAAATCACGAATATATGATGCAAGGCTTGTGGTACTACTTGATCTAGGCAGGATTCCACAATGTCATTGACTAAGCATAAATAGTCCACTCCAAATCATTCATAGTAGAATTATATTTTAAATAATCAATAGAGTCCTGCACACTGTGCCAGGCAACAATATAAAATGGAAGGGCTGGTCAGCCTGTGACAGTATGTGAGGAAAAAACCTGTTCAAATATATATATATATATATCCATACCCTAACCTTTGTCTGAATCTGGATTCTTGTTTCCAAGACTTCCAGGCCTCTGAGGCTATAGGAACTACCACTGAAAAGGAAGTATCTTTAGTGCCCACCAATCTAATACTTATTGATGGCCAAAAGCAGGATCTCAAAGACCTATATTAAGGTTCAGACAAGTCATTGGAGGTGCAGGCAGTCCTTCAAATAATTTGTTCCCTAACTATTCAGGGCTTTGAATTGAGCCTTGAAGCAGAGGGACAACTAGCACAGTGGATACAAAATATGCATTTTATGCTCCAGTTACCAGGCCCCCACATGCAACCAGACAACTGCATTTTACACCAACTGAAGCATCCAAACAATCTTCAAAGGCAGCGTGAATAGTGAAAAAAACTTCTACTAAGCTTCCCTAACCTATTTTTCAAAAGCCTTCCCTCTAGCCAATTCTAGAGTCATGTATGGCATTAGTCCATGTTACAAGTGGCTAATTAGTCACCCTTGCCTAATTTTACCCATCAGGGCCTCTAGTTTCTCATAAGATTCAAACCCAGCCCCCCTTTTTTAAACTAATGCCAGAATACTCAGTTGGAACTGCTCCAGGCTGAATGATGATGCAGTCAGTCATTCCAAACTCTTGAGCCAGTCTGAGACAAAGGGTCTTTGAACATGTAAGAATGCTTCCAAATGAGACTTTTCTTGTGCAATCACACTGCCTCCTTCCCAGAATTTTGGGTCCAGGACAGGACAAAGTGGGGGTTGCAGGTGACAATGTCTTCAATTTGTAGCCTTCACATCCCCCCCTCCCCCAGTGATCCTTCCTTTTTCAACTATAATAAACCAGTGACGGTTAAAGACAGAATCACTTACAGACAGAATAGCTTTTAACAGCCTGTGAACCACCTAGAGAGCTTCAGCGGTATAGAAATGTGATAAATAATAGCTGTGCAATGCCTTTCATTGTCAACAATAGGAGCTCTCCACCTGGGAGCACTCTAAGCCATTGATCCCCAGCCAGGTATCCATTCTAAACCAAGCAGTGAAGTCATTCACTTATGCAATATTTTTGATGTTACTATTTTCAAGCTATTTTTATCTGCATCTTCTGTATGATGAGCCACTTACTTTAAGAGTTAGCTAAATTTGCATAAATGTTTTGCAAGCGTTTGGCTACATTGCATGGATATTTCCTGAAAATGCCTTCATGGCCAGATTCACAGGGAAAACACAGAAACCTTACCTAGGGCAAACAGGATGGTCTCAGACCTTGAAATAGATCTTCCCCACACCTTACATTTTTTTTTTTTTTGAGAGGGCATCTGAGTAGCCTTGACAACTTCTGTTTTGGAAAATGCAACTATAGATTGTTAAAAGGGTTTGGACTGGAAGCTTTGCCCCTCATACCTACCATTTCTTTTTAAGCACAAGGTCCTGTTTTGTTTTTTAAAAGGCAAAGAAAAAGATACCCCTTACAATGTTGTTTTAGCAATGAAGGACCTAATTACACATTATGTTAAACTCTTATTTGAAAAAGATTTTAACAATGTCACTTTTATTCTTAAGGAAAAGCACATTATGTGAGAGATAATTAAACAAAACACAATAGATAGCAATCTTCCACCTTGCCCAGCCTGTCCAGCAGAGGATGGAAAATAACAGGAGATGGATTCAGCCAGGAAGCCCCCACATTTATGCATATAGGCCAGCACCTTCTCGATGCTATGCCACTTTTGGGGGTGGCAGGAAAATATGCAAGACAAGTAAGCAGTAGTTCCTGCCTCCTCTCTCTTCTGTAACCTTCCCTGGGTACTACACACAAGGAGAACTTAATAACAATGCAAAAGCAGTGTGGCATAGTAGGAACAGCTACCTTATCCTCTCACTTGGTTCATCTGAATTCAGTCTCTGGGAAATAGAGAATTCTCCCCAGTGAACCCAAGTCCTCCAAGTTGGGTCATCCAGAAAGGCTGAGCAAGAGAAAGCAGCAGGCCCTTCTTCAAAATGCAGTTGCTGCCTCCACAGGGTCAGTCCTTTCTTTCACCCAAGGACTGGGCAAGTAACACTTGCCACACCACCCTCTCTACTTACCTTGTCTCTCCTTCCCGCAACACCGGCTCACTTTCCCTCCCTCTTTGGGTACTGCAGCAAGAACATCTCATCTCAGTGGGACTGTCTAGAAATAACACATCAGCAAAGGGGAAACAATGGCTCACCTACACATTCCCTTCCTGATCACTTGCCATCTCTCATTGGGCGCTGCAGAGGACTGGACAGCTTGAGCCTAGTCCCTACCACATCATCTCTCAGAGAAAGAATGCAATTAAGTGAGAAAACAAAATGGTTGCTTCTTCTGAAACCTCTATAGTACAGTACCCAGAGAGAAACAAGCAAAGGCAGTGCTCACACTCTGCCTCTAGGTAGCACTATGTGGGCGCAATCCACGGTTTCCCAGCACTGACCAAATAGCAGCTGCTGCTTTCTCTTCCTTGCACTTTCTTACAAGATCAGATGAGCTGGGGTGTCTTCCTTGTTCTGAGGTATTTCTCCCTTGCCTTTAACACCCATCGCTGCAGAGCAAGGAAAGAAAGGCAGCTACGGCTACCTGCACTGTAAGAGTGTTTTTCCTTTAAAATCAAAGTGGCAGCATGAAGTACTCTTTTTAAAATACGTGTTTTAACACCCGGTTTAGTTATACAGATGATCTGAAACCTGCCACAAGGAAAGCAACCGCCCAGAAACGGGCGGCATAGAAATTAATAATAATAACCGCAGACAGAAGCAGTTTATTTATCAGAATTACAAAGTAGATAAAGCCAGTTTCCATTTCCACCTGCATTTGGCAAGGCTATTAGACATGGCTGTGCCGAAAAAGGAAAATAAAATCCTGTAAAAAGCACACCGACCCTTCAAGCGCCACAGCCATTTCCCTCCTTTTCGCTATCAAGTTATTGCTGCGTGTCGCTGGGAAAAAGAGAAGAACTGGCGCTGCGGGCGGAGGGAGGGAGCGTCAGTCTGGCTGGGTACTACGGGAGGGGAAAGACCGGCCCAAGAGACGTGCCGCGGCAACGACGGGGCAAGCTTTCAACGCAGGCGGCCACCAGGGCGGGAGTTTCCAAACGGCACAGCGCGCCCAGGCAGACGACTGGGCCTGCCGAGCCAGAAGAGAGGCCCTCGGGCGGAGAAGCGCGGCAGACGCAGGCAAGCTCCGCGCCCGCCCGGCGCCACCGCCCGCCTCTTCCTCTCCCTCCTCCTTTCCTCTCACCTTCTCCGCCTCCCGCCAGTTTCAGACGGAGATACAGAGCGGACTCTTCTCTCCATTTCCCCGTGGGAGGAGCTCGGCGAGAGAGGGAGGAGGAGCGAGAGCGCAAAAATACCGGCGGGATTGCCTTCCTCTTCCTCGGGCTCTGACACTGAACCTTGGAAGCGTGTGTGCTGCTGAGACGCTTGCGTTGCCGTGTACGTGAGCAAAAAGGCAGGGGAGAGCCAAGGGGCCTGGAACGCGCAGACGGTGTTTCTCGGTTGCCGTCTCTTTTCAGGAGTCGGGGTAAAACCCAGGTTCCCTTTTTAAAAAGCAGGTAAATGTAATGTTCGTGTTAGATATCTATTTGAAAAAGCGTGCTTCATTGACACTATTAGGAGAAAAAATAACCCATTGGGGAGGAAAGATGATCAAACAATAAATTATGAACTGGTTTCCCGTGCCCTGCAGCAAGAGCACAGAAGACACCCAGGTGGGAAGCCCTTGGAACTTCCACCTGCACCCCTGCTGCTTCCTTAAAGTTCTCTTGCTTCCAGAAAGGAGCAGGGGAACATGCAAGGAAAAGAAGACAGCATAGTCTCTTACTTCCATTCACCTGATCACTTTTCCTGTGTATTATTTATTTTATTATACCTACACCATCATCTAGTCATAGTTCTGCCAGTGCTGAACAACAGTAATCAATGCAGTAAAATATAATCTAGAATAAATATGTCATTACATTTATTTAAAAGCACATTTTTACAACTCAGCTACTAGAACCTTTCCATACTGCTGGGCCTGCTGAAAAACAGCTGACAGCATCCCCAGCAGCACCTCCATGTGCTATTTAGAGTTGGTAAATGCTTCAGCCAAAGAGAGTAGTCTTAACCCAACTCCAAAATGATAGTGGAGTTGGTACCAGGTGGAGAGATGATTCCATAATATGGCAGCTACCACAGAGAAGGCCCTCCTTTCCACCAGCCAGGTCTTCCTTAGAGGAGGCATTTGGAAGAACACCTTAGATGCTGAATGTAGTGTTCAGGTACACTGTGACAAGAGGATTGGGTCCACACAGCCCCTCTGCCATCTTTGAGCAGTGCAGTGCCAGTCATAGAGGGAGCACTTACCTCATCTTCTCTCTCACTCACCTGCACTCTTCTGAGAGGCCTGGTGGTAGGCCTGAGCCCAAATATCCAGTCTTCCACACCACTCTTTGAAAGGGAGTGAATGAACAGACAAAGGTAGCAAGAGCCCCTTATATTTGCTCCCTCCCTCTTGTCAAGTCAAATCCTTCCTACTGTATCACCCAAAGAAGCAATATGTACATGCAGGTAAAGTATTTCCAAGGAAGACAACAGGTGAGGACAATGGAGGCAGTGCCCAATCACTTGCCCAGTCATTCCTACATCTGCTTCTGCCATTTACTCATCCTCCCTTTCTACGGGGTGCAGCAGACAGGGTTGGTTAGGAAAAGAGTGTCTATGTCATCTTCTCACTCACTGACCTAGATTCTCCATTTAGGTAGCAGTAATAGAGATTCTGACTGGTGAACCAAATTTTCCTGCTGTGCCATCAACAGAAAAAGGTTAAGCAAGAGGAAGCGGGAAATATTCCTTGCAGAAGCATCTGCTTCCTCCACACAATAGCTCAGCTTGATCTCAACTGCAAGGATTGAACAAGTGATGGTTGCTGATGCTTTGCCTGCCAAGGCTGGCCCTGCCATTAGGTGGTGTGAGCCAGTTGCCTCAGGCAGCAGATGGTGAGAGGCAGCAACAAGGTGTTCTGTGAGAGAGCTGTGTGCCCTGCAGCCTGCTATGCACCCCCTAAGTTAGCCTTCCACCTTCACAAGTAGTGCAGCATGTTGTTCCATCATCCACGGTGAGGCTCATCTGCTGGTCCAGTCAACTTTTATATGTGGTGTCAGTGCAAAATGAATGAAACCTTTGCCAAAATATGTCTGCCAAAAGCTTACCTATATAAGAACTTTTGACTTAAGGTTAAGATACTGATCTGATCAAGAAACCGTGTTGCAAGTCCTGCCTCATACACCTTAGCTAGGCTAATGTATGCCCGGCCTGAATTTCCCTCCTTTTGTGTTGTTTGCCTTAATCCATTCAACCCTTTTGTTTTACTCTCATGTGTCATTAGCAAACTGAACCCTCCTCTAAACTATGATAGGTTATAAAAGCATCCTGTACTGACTCCATCTTTGTAGTTCCTTTGGGAGCTACCTACATGCTACATGTATTTCCTGTATGTCTAAATAAACTGTAAATATTCTTTTGATTGTATACCCCCAGCAAACCAGCAATCAGTGCTTCCTGACAGTGGAATGGGAGAGGGCACCATCATACCCTTTGCCTGTGGCACCAAAATGTCTTGGGCCAGGCTTGCTGCCTGCTCTCTCTTGGGGCAATACAGCAAGATTGAGCTTAGCAAGGCTAAACAGAAATGAGGTAGGAAAAGGGGGCAGTGGCTAGCTCACCATTTGCCTCTTCCTGCTTACTCATTCTCTCTGTGTGGGGTGAGGAGAGGGAGGGAACAAGCAGGGGGGTGCAGTTGAGCAAAGGTAGATGATCCTCACAGTTACCACCTCTAACAGCTCACATGCCCTGTCTCACTGGATGGTGTGAAGGAATGGAGTAGCTAGGCCTCACCTCACCACTGAGAGGAAGAGCACAGGTGAGTGAGTGAGAGAGGATGAGGTGGCTACTCCTTCCATGACCAAGCCACTTTCCTGAGCCAGTCAGTGAGAGAAGACAGGCAATCAAATGCTGCTGCCCATGATCTATCTTGAGGCAGCATTGTGGGCCCAGTCCTAGGCAATTTGTCAACAAAGGAGGTAGAAGCAACCACTGTCTTCTCTTCCTTACCAAATTCTCTGGAAGTGGCAGAACTCAGAATAGGAGGCAGGGAGTTCCTGGCTGGTGGTCCCCCCTGCCCCGCCCCCATTCAGGGAGCAGGGGAGAGAATATTGTTTACCTTTACTTGATTGCTTCTCCTGCCCCAGAGCTTATTCTTTCAAACTAGAACTAGTTGTAGTATGCTACTTTCCCCCAAATAATAAAATAACATGTAGTAAGGCTGAGAAAGCAGTGTAGTAGTGACATGTAGTTATGCTGAGGAAGAATGGTAAGCTCTGGACACCTGCAATTACAGAAAAATAGAGTGTGGTCACAAGTTAAAGGGGCAGTTCACTATCCCCTATCTAAGATTGTTGAGGGAGGTTTTAGAATTTAAGAAGAATAAAAAACCTTTAGAATAAGCCACTGTTCAGGAGCAACCTGATACTTTAATGTGCTATAGCAAAGGGCTTTCCTAATATTGGGCAAAAAGAACAGCTCAGGTTGGTTATCTTTATAGAACTGTAACCTGAAATATACTTGCTTGGAAACATAATGAGGCTGACAGCTCTTAGACATGCATGGGATCACACTTTCAGTCTGTTTTGGACTATCAACTTTGCAGCAAATGCCCTAGTTTCAGAAAATTATTAATGAAGAAACTACCTGATTGATTCATTTGTACAGGCCTTGGGAAGCAGGTACATCATTTGGCTGGAATAGATTGCATCTGTTCTATTAAGCATATTTTGGGGATTCTGTTCCCAGAAGCACATATTAGTTTAGTCCAACCATTAAAAAGATACAGATAGCCACTCAATTTCAATATTAGTTTTTGCTTTTTAGAAAACTAAAGGTATGCTTCTGGATTTTTCCAGTATTTTTTCCTGAGAAGTTCAGCATAAATGACTCACACATACTCATAATTTCGTTCCATAAAGGATCCAAAACTGCAATTGGAACTCTTAGGATTTATTCATACTTCACAGATGAAACAGGAACATCCTGTTCATTCCTGGGGGGTGGGGGGCATGCTAAGGATGGGTTCTGGCAACTGAGCAGAATGCCTCGCTGGCCAGTTGTAGAAGCAACAAAATCCAGACCCAAGTGCCGTACAAAAGAAAATGAATCCTCAGTTCATGCAAGGAGATAGCTGCAGATGACAAAAGTAGTAAGGCAAGTTACATACTACACAGCAAGGAAAACG